TGCACGTGGTACCTGTTTATGCCCCACCTGCTATCAGGCAGGTGCTGCCAGGAGGCAGCCCTCACCCACAGAGAAGCAGGTAAGCAACCTTTGCTGTAGAGGACACGTGTTGCTGATGGGTGGCAGCAACTGTGCAGGGACATTGAATCACCCAGAAACTAGGATCAGCTGGAAGCCATTAGCACTCCCAGGACAAGGGGAGGGAAGAGTGTTACATGGAAGCCCAAGGGGAGGTGGAACCTTGGAGGGAGATCCTCCAGCAGACCCTGCAGTGATGGGGGGAGGATGGCCTTCCTCGTAACAGAGAGGTGAGCAAGGAGGGGGCAAAGGAGAAATATCTCGACGTCTCTCTCCCCTTAGCCTCCAATCTGTTGCTTACAACTGGCCAAACCGAACTAAAAGCCAACTGGCAAGGAACCCAAAGAATCAATCCACGGAGCTGGGTCTCCAGGACACAGAACATAGGGGACAATGGTAGAAATGGATCTTGGAGGGCCAACAGAGGACACCCAGCACACACCTATACCCTGATATTTGCTCTTGAGACTCGTCTGGGCATCTGTTGTTCCTGTAGGACGGTGGTTCTCCTGTCGCAGCCGACCGGCAAATCCCCTGAAGGGCTTGTTAAACAGATTCCTGGGCCCAACACCCAAAGTTTCTGATTCTGAGGTCTGGGATGTTGCCCCAGAATCTGTATTTCTAACAAGTTCCCAGGTGATGTTGACGCTGCAGGTCTGAGGACCACACTTAGAGATCCACAGCTTTCTAACATGAGATTTCTTGAGGGCAGCTTCCCTTCTTCTGTGCATAGCATTTGAATATGCCTTCTACACCCAGGACAGCCCCATGGCCAGCAGAACCGTGCGCAGCTCAGAACCACGTGGGGCAGCCCTCCGCAGCACCCCTCACCTGACAGCCCCGGTGCCACGGACCCTGCCAGGTGGGCTGGCCTTGCCTCGCCTTAACTCACCCTGTCCATGCCCCCTCCAGGCCTCGTCTTCTGCCTAATCCTTGTGAAGGCTCTCAATTTTTCCTGCCCAGTTGCCCATAGTTAACACCACACACACACACACACACACACACACACACACAACGGAAAGGGAAAC